TTTTTGAGACGGAGTTTCACTCATGTTACCCAGGCTGGAGTGCAATGGCGTGATCTCGGCTCACCGCAACCTCCGCCTCCTGGGTTCAGGCAGTTCTCCTGCCTCGGCCTCCTGAGTCGCTGGGATTACAGGCATGCACCACACAGGGTTTCACCACGTTGGTCAGGCTGGTCTCGAACTTTTGACCTCTGTGGGTTGTCTTGTTAACTCTGCTAATTATTTCTTTTGCTGTACAGAAGGCTAGGTCGTTTTTTTCTTTAGTGGTTGCTTTAGGGTTTGTAGTATATATCTTTAAATTGTCTCCTCCAAATAATACTATATCACTTCACATATAACATTAAAAGTTTCCCTTTTTCCCAGGCCTGCCTTTTAGCTATTGTTGTTATATATTTTACTTTTTTAATATGTCGTAAACCCCGCAATCCAATTCTTATTATTTTTGCTTTCTAGTCAGTTATCTTTTAAAGAAATTAAAAATGAGAAGTCTTTTATGTTTACTCACATATTTTCCATTCCAGTGTTCTTCATTCCAATGTATAAATTGGGATTCAGCAAACTTTTTCTGTAAAGAGCCAAAAAATAAAAAAAAATATTTTCAGCTTTGTAGACCCTATGATCTATGGCAGTTATTCAACTCTGCTGTTACGGCATGAAAACAGCCATAGATAATAGGTAAATAAATAAGAATGGCTGTGTTCTAATTAAAATTTATTTATAAAATTAGATGGATTTGGTCCACAGGGCCAAAAAAAAATTAATTTTTTTTCTGTTAACCTTCCCAGTTTTTTAACTGCAGCTACATGTGTGGTAGGCCGTTTCTTAACTCTCAGTCTTTGCTGTGTCTGATTTTAGTTCGTTTCTACTACTATGTCTCCAAGCTACCAGCCATCTTGTTCAGTTTCTAATTCAGTGTGTCCGTCCGTCCTTCCTGCCTGCCTGCTTTCTGTCCATTCATCCCACTCTGTCGCCCGGGCTGGAGTACAGTGGCACAATCTCGGCTCACTGCAACCTCCGCCTTCCAGGTTCACACAATTCTCCCACTTCGGCCTCCTGAGTACCTGAGATTACAGGCATGTGCCACTACGTCCCCCTAATTTTTTAAATTTTTGGTAGAGACTGGGTTTCATCATGTTGGCCAGGCTGGTCTCGAACTCTTGACCTCAGGTGATCCTCCCGCCTCTGCTTCCCAATGTGCTGGTATTACAGGCATGAGCCACAGCAACTGGCCCAGTGTGTTTTTCTTCTCTAGAGGTTTGATTTGGGTCTTATTTCTATCTTACATTTTTCTCCACATTATAGTCATGTTTTCCTTTCTGTCTTCTTGAATAGAGTGCTTTTTAAACAACTGTTTTAATAACCTTGTCGTGTGATTCTATCATCTGTGTCATTTTTGAATCTGTTTATATTGATTTTTTTTCTCCTGATTACAGGGCATATACATTCTTTGTATCTGGTAATTTTTTATTGAATGCCAGATACTGTGAATTTTACATTATTGGCTTAATTTCTTTTTTTTTTAACTATACTTAAGTTCTGGGATACATGTGCAGGACATGCAGATTTGTTACATAGGTATACATATGCCACGGTGGTTTGCTGCATCCATCAAGCTGTCATCTACAGTGGGTATTTCTCCTAATGCTATCCTTCCCCTAGCCACCCACTTCCCTCCTATCCCTCTCCTTCCTCCCCACCCCCCGACAGGCCACAGTGTGTGATGTTCCCCTCCCTGTGCCCATAGGTTCTCAGTGTTCATCTCCCCTTATAAGTGAGAATATGCGGTGTTTGGTTTTCTGTTCCTTTTTAGTTTGCTGAGAATAATGGTTTCTAGCTTCATCCATGTCCCTGCAAAGGACATGAACTTATTCTTTTTTATGGCTGCATAATATTCTATGGTGTATATGTGTGTTGGGTTAATTTCTTCCCTTTCTGCGTTTCTTCCCGTCTGTCTTTTTTGGGATGGGGAGATGCAGCTGAATTCCCCTTCCCCCAATTTTTTTTTTTTTTCAGTGTTTCTTTTGGATTTATTAGTCTGGTCTGGAAAAGTTTGTGGTCTAGGTCTGGTTTTGGCCCTGATATTTAGGCAATACCTAATACCCTCTGAGATTATTGATGGACTTGATGTTGCATGTGTTAGGATGTCTTTCCACTGTGGCTGGCGAGAACACAAACCGTTGTGCCCTAATGTAAGATCTAATGATTATTCTGCCTGCTCCTTTCTGGTAGTTTTTCCCTGGCCGTGGTAGTTTGCTCACACATACAGGAGTCGGAGGACTATTCAGTCCAAGACTCAAGGAGACCTCTTAGCAGATTCTCAGTTTCTCCTCTCTCTGCAGCTGCCTCCTCTCTGGTACTTTATTTCCATAAATTCTAGACACCTGGCCTTTCCGAATTCTGAACTCTGTTTTCTTAACTCAGACTACCTGGTTCAGTCTGGATTCCTCCTCCTCATACTACAGCCTGAAAAGTCTTTTTAGGCAGTGAGCTATAGCACTAATAGTTTGCCTTCTCTCAGGGGTCACTGTTCTGGGATGCTCGTTCAACATCTGAAAGCTCTTGTTTCATACATTTTGTCCAGTTTTCTAGTTGTGTAAAGCAAGAGAGTAGATATTCTTGTTGAATAACACCATGACTGAAAGCAGAAATTTTGCTACTCTTAAATTCTTTGGTCATGTGTTCCTGCTTTTCATACCTTTTAATATCCAAGCTCACCTAAGACTTCCTGTAAAATCACATTTAATTAAAAATAATCATTCCTTTTCCTTTCTAGTAGACACTATAGTTTTACACAGTTTCCCTTTTTGGAATACATTGTCAAATCTTTCTCGAACATAATTCATTACAAAAGTATAGAACATATACCACGTGTTACTCTGCTAGATGCTAAAGATGCAAAGATTAATAAACTAATGGATTATGCCCCTTTGTTTGAATTTTTGAAATCTGTGTTTTTTAAGATCTAGAACAGTGCTATTCAAAATGTGGTCTACATACTGGTGCCAATTTGAAGGGTTTGCAGGGGTGGACCATGCTATAAGGAGTTTGTTCCAGAGTATTCAATCAGCTACATTGCTGAACACATTGCGTAGCTCACCTGAATTTTTTTTTTTTTTTTAAGTGGGACTTTCTTGAAGGAGGCAATGTGTGTTGGTTTAGATGCCAGAAAAAGCGGCTTCTTTCACTGTAGGCAGGTAATAAGCGATTTATAGACCAGCTACTAGTACACATCTCCGAGTGCTTAGCATCTCCTCCCTTGGCTGTTAGGAAATCTTCAGCATCAGAGTTCTAGCCATTAATTTCATTTAAAGGGTTATTTCTTCTTAATTAAAACTAATTATTTTGACATTCATTTTATGGCTGGTAACTGGTTCGGAGGACATCTTAGCAACCACAATCCAGGATGGTTTTATTTTTATACAGGCGCAGACTTGGAATTGGAACAACTTTGGCAATAGAGAGAATGACTGTGGGATCCCACTTAGCTTAGTGCTGGAAGGAAGGAGAAGCACTATGGGCTCTTCTCTGGGATTTCTGTTATATCCAATTTATTTTTATGACCTTCCTAGACATAAATCATCCCGTCCTTGTTCATAAGTATATTTTCCCTCTCTCACTTCATCCTGACAAGATTTATTTTATCTCAATGCATGATTCCCCATTTCCTTTCCATTTGTTGACTGGTTTCTGAGTCTCATCTTCTCTGATTAGCCATTGGTAATTGTCACTACCTAACAGAACGTGATTGTAACATGTACTAGCATTTAACTAGGATGGGAGAAAGAAGGCAGTGAGTATGAGAACCCCTTGAAAAGACATTGCTGTACTCTTTCTTTTCCAGTGGAAAGCTCTCCAGACATCCTAAAGAATGAAGACTTTTCTAGCAGCCGTGCTATTACAGTGTACAAAGACAAGAGTCAAGAATCCATGGACCAGCTGTCATTGATTTTGTCTCATGAGTGCCAGATTTCCCAGAAGCTCTACATTCCTCGAAGTACAGCCACTGCTGCCTTAGGTGCTGCCGCACGGTTAGCTACATCCAGGAGCCTCCTACAGTGGTACCCCAGTGTGAAAAGGATGGAAGCATGAGGGAGGGAGGGAGAAAAACAGAATCCAGCCACTTAGGGCTTGATGAACTCCCAGGCCAAAATGAGGAGGTACTGAAGCAAAATAGTATCTTGATCATTGATACTGTTGTCTTTCTGTGACTATATGTTAGCTTTATTATGCTAACAGCCTACTCTGATGTGTAAGTACTGATATTTACTGTTACTCTTGATTTTTCCTGATGATTTTGTGTTGTTTTGTTCATCTTTGTTTTTAATGTAATTTAAAGGAATTTGTTTCTTGTGTTTCTGTTTTTCTTGTACATATCATGACTGATAAATGAAAATTGAAAAACTAATGTTTGTGCTATTTGGCAAGACAAAATAGTCTCATATTCCTATCTCCAGAAAAAAAGGATGTCTGACTCTTAGAGCTGCTTTCTATCTAAATTTGAGGTCTTCTGTATCATAGAGCATCATTATGTCTTTGAAATATTGGGATCAGTAAGAAAATCTACACCCTGAAGCTTTGATCATATGAATACTTCTACATTTAAAAAAATTAAGCTGTTTGCAGTAAAGGCAATTTCTGAAATGTTAATAGCTGAGCCATCTCTATAATGATCACAGTTCCCAGGAGCCTAACTGTAGCAATCGTTCAACAGTGGCATTGTTGAAGCATTTATATAACATTATGTTCTCTGAGGTCAAATTGTGTGAAACGTGTTATGGCAGTCTGTTGAGCTCATAGTATAAATCATCAAAAAAGACTGAAGGTGACATTTTAAAATGTGAGTAATGCTGGTTAATTTCTTTTTTCTTTTTTTTTTAACCAGACTTACATCTAGATTTTAAAAGTATTTTACTCACAGAATTAAAACCCCAAACAGAATTATTTCTGAGAAGTAAAATCCGAGAAAGATGTAAATAGTGGGCATGCTTCATGTAATGAAGTTCTCACCCTTTATAGCTGTTCTTCTAAGGCCTCCTTTTTTGGTATTAAATGACAGAGCTGGTCTGGTTCTTCTTTTTTTCTATAATAAGGATTTTGTCCTTTTTCCTTCTCAACTACTTAGCAAAATATCCACTAAGGAAGGGAGTAGGATGGGAGTAAATACAGAAGTACATTCAGAGTATTACTAAAAAAAAAAAAATAAATAAAATAAAAAAAAATGTTAAACCAAAAGTCTTTAAATACTGATCATTTTCTGTTTAAAAGCCTTAGAGAAAATATGTTAAATGTAATACAATTTAAAAGCTCAGATTCATCTCTACTTCCAGTATATCTATAAGAATAATGTAAGGATAAACTAATTGACAAAAAAAGACTAAAGTAATCTGGAAACATCACTGATAGTTAATCCAACTGATGAAACAGGTTTTGGCTTTTGTGAATTTGTGTCAGATATCTTTACTGGAGAAGACAGCTGGAGAGTTACGTGGAGGGTCAGTGGACGGTCCAATATTATGTATGTGATGCTCAATTGATAATGAACTGGTGGAGCTGTTTTTCATATAA